AGCACCCTCTGAAGAGATATCCTTATTCTCATTTCGCTGAGGAGGAGCCTGAGGCACAGACAGGTTGCGTATGTTGCCCAGGCTCAGGCGGCCTGTAAGTGGAGGAGTCAGGGTTTGAACCCTCCCTACCTGCACGGCCTGGCCGTGACCGCCATGGCCAAGTGTGTTCTGCTGGGCTGAACTGGCGCCCAGTGCTTGGCTTCCAGCACAGTGCTCCCCGCTTCCTCTTCTTTTTAATTCTTCCCTTTAAATCCCTTCTCACTCTGTGCTATGTGCAGTTTGGTTTCTCTTTTGGCTCATTTCTTTCCTTGTTTCAGGAGTGTACACCTTAAACCATGAGAAGCAGTGGACGAACAAAGCCGTTGGGGAGAAGCTTCCTGAATGTGAAGCAGGTGGGAGCCAAGGGTTCAGGGCGCAGGCCGGTGTCCAGGGGAGTGTCGCAGAGGCACAGCCCGCCTGTGTGGCTTCCTCTCGGCGCACAAGAGCCAACAGGAGGGATCAGGGAGCTACAACTGGTCAGGCAGAGATCGAGCAGTTAGGTGATGACTCTCGATAGAGCTCACTAAGGGTCTTGTTCTTTCGGGCCTGAAGGACATTGGCTGAATCCACTGTCCACACTGCCCCCAGGTCAAGTGACCCCATGCACACAGATAGCCAGCCTGCCCAGAGAGCCCTAGGTCGAAAGTAAAGCAAGCTCCAAGAACAAGTCGAGGGAGGACATAAAATCTTAATCCACGAAGTGCAACTGGAAGCTGGAGATGGGCTGGGGCTGCTGTTTCTTGTCACTGGGAAGAGCTGCTGCTCTCTCTTTTCCCTCCTTGGAACAAGAGGGTCTTGCCCAGCTTCTTCGGCTCTTGGTGGTGTGGAACTGCCAACCTGTCTTGTATTAACTGCAACATCCGTGCAATCTGAGTTCCGGCCAGTGCTGCTACAGACCCCCTTTATTCAGAAAGAATATCACGAATTATCACAGCTCCCAGCCCTTTCAGTGGATTTCAGGGAATTGTGGACATTCCTTTGTTGTGATAAATTGTTTAAATATAATACAGTTCATCAGCCAGGGCTCAAAACTCTCAGCGTTACTTATTTCTTTTGTGAGTTAGAAAGGCAGGAAATCGAACTCTGCTTCGTGATGCAAAAAAACAAACAAAAAAACCTGAATTGTTTTAAACTGTAAATATCGGAAATGAGATGATCGGGTGTTGAGGGCAAAGCATTTAAATCTTTCCAGCTCTGAAAGAAAAGGGGAAGGATAGCTCAGACAGCAGCAGCGGCCAGTGCTTCCCAGCCCTCCTTCCCGGATCGGGAGACGCTCTCACACCTCTGCTCACGAGTTTCTTGCTCTCCTTCACAGTGTGCGGGAAGCCCAAGAATCCAGTGGATCAGGTGCAACGGATCCTGGGTGGATCTCTGGATGCCAAAGGCAGCTTTCCCTGGCAAGCTAAGATGGTCTCTCGCCATAATCTCACCACAGGGGCCACCCTGATCAATGAACAGTGGCTGCTGACCACGGCTAAAAATCTCTTCTTGAATCACACAGAAGATGCCAAAGCAAAAGACATTGCCCCTACTCTACGACTCTATGTGGGGAAGAATCAGCCTGTGGAGATTGAGAAGGTGGTTTTCCATCCTAACTACTCCCAGGTAGATATCGGGCTCATCAAACTCAAACAGAAGGTGCCTGTTAATGAGAGAGTGATGCCCATCTGCCTACCTTCCAAGGATTATGTGGAAGAGGGGCGTGTGGGTTATGTGTCAGGCTGGGGCCGAAATGCCAACTTTCAGTTTACTGAGTTTCTCAAGTATGTCATGCTGCCTGTGGCTGACCAGACCAAGTGTGTCATGCACTACGAAGGCAGCACAGTGCCCGAAAAGAAGACACCAAAGAGTCCTGTAGGGGTGCAGCCCATACTGAACGAATACACCTTTTGTGTTGGCATGACCAAGTACCAGGAAGACACCTGCTATGGCGATGCTGGCAGCGCCTTTGCTATTCACGACCTGGAGCAGGACACTTGGTACGCGGCTGGTATCCTGAGCTTTGATAAGAGCTGTGCTGTGGCCGAGTATGGCGTGTACGTGAAGGTGCCTTCCATTCTGGACTGGGTTCAGAAAACCATCGCCAACAACTAACTCGAGGCTGGGAGAAGTGGATGGGAGTGGATGGGCTAAGACATGGTCTGAAGCTGATGGGTGCCAGCCCTGTGTTGCTGCGTCAATCAATAAAGAGTTTTCTTTTGACCCGTTTCTGTCCTGTGTTCAGTCCCAGGCCTTTTTTATTCTCTCATTTATGGTCCAAGAGCAGCCAAGCGGTAGAGAGTCTACAGGGAGGATGGCAGAAAATACCCCAAGCCAACTGGAAATCCCTAGGGTGCCACAAACTGTTCCATCTTGGGGAGTCACACTCACTCAGTGCCTACTGGATGCCAGGTCTCAGAAAGGTAATTGTCCTCGTTTTACAGACAAGGAAACACAGACTCAGAGGAGTTAGAGATTTTCTTACACAGCTGCTAAATAGTGAAGCTGAACCTTGAACCTCAGGCTGTTTGAATACAACTCTGAGCTCTTTTCACTGCATCCTGTCACCTCTTCGAAGTGAATCAGGAGGAAGGGTGCAGGCCTGGTGAGGAAGACGCTAGCTCAAAATGGCATGGAAAAAAGTGTTTTGACGCAGACAGTACTTTTATTATGTTCCAAACCACCAGCACTCCAGAAAACAAAATAAGATGCCATAAAGGCAGGATCTCTGGACTTGCTGCGTCCAAATCATAGCTTGGCCCATAAATTTGCTAAGTTCTTTAAGCTTCCTGGCCATCAGTTCCTGATCACTCCCATGAGGGGCTTAAACCACACAATCTCTAAAGTCCCTACCAGCAATAATATTCTGGGACTCCACAGAGTTAGGAGGTCAGAGTCCTTTCCTGTGTAGGAGCTGCTTTTCCTACTTGGAAGAAACCTCGCTTCACTAGGAATCAAATGCAAGCCATCTGAGTCTGACCTTCCAGAGACAGGGGTCTTGCTGTTGAGGGCCTCCCGCTCTTGTAAACGGGAAGCCCATCTAACGGAGGTCTTTCTTGCTATAAGCCTTCGCCAACACACCGCCTTCTCTTGCCAAAAACGCGGCCTCTCCTTTTCTTGGTGCAAAATGCCACTCGCGGCACTCTCTCTCAGCAGGGTCTGGCCAGATCCATTGACAAATTTCAACAGGTTAGAGCTAGTGGGCCAATGAAGATATGGACCTACATTCTAGAACCTATGAAAGAGATAATAGCCAGAAACTGGAAAAGACTCAAACGCTTAGAATTAATGATTCTATTAAGTGGTTTCTGGAACTACTCAGGAGGAAAATAATGATAACAGCAAAACTCTGGCATTTTCTTATCACTGATCTTCTCTGCCCAGCAGCACCTCCTGCTGGCCTGGCCTCAACTTCGGGTTTCAGCAACACTGGACTCTGTGCCGCTCTCTGAACACCCCCTGCCGTCTCCAGGCCCTGGGCCTTTTTCCTCAGGGGCCCTCTACTGAAATGACTGTCCCCCTTCTGCACGCGTACCTCCTGCTCTCCTTTAACACACGGGCACTGCCTCTGAGGGCCTGTCCCTGGTACAGGAGTCATTTGTATTTACGTAGCACCTAGCATACGACGGGACGTATAGCATGTACTCAATAAGTACTTGTGGAATGGGAACTAAGACAGGATCAAAAATATAAATCAGGACTTCAGAGAAAGAGTCTCTAAAGCCCTCAAGGGGAAAGAAGATACAAGAATTTTATGCATGCAAGTTCTGAGTTTTTCCATCTGAGTGCTTACCGCCTAACAAATACTGTGTGATTTGGACTGAGGAACAGCAAACTCAACTAACAGTGACTTAGGCAATGAAGACATTTTATTCTTTCACAGAAGTCAGAGGAAGCAGATCCAGAGTTCACTTAGTAGCTCAATAACATCATCAGGGATCAGGCTCTTTTTACGATTCTTCTCAGCATATCGATTTTTCATCCTGATGCTGGTTGCCTCATGGTCCTAAGATGGCTGTTGTAGCTCCATGCATCATGATTAAATCAGTAGCACGAAGTGGAGGCGAGGAGAAGACAGGGGGTGGTGACAGGGTTTTGTTTTGTTTTATTCCTGGAGTGCCTCTCTGTTTTTATCAGCGGAGAACACAAAAGATGCCCAGCAGCCTTCCCTCTATGCTGCATTAGCCAGAACCAAGTCTCATGGTCACCCCTCCAGTAGGAGAGACTTCGTAAGGAAGCACCTGGCAAAGGGGGCTGGACTTGCAGTGATGGTACTGCCCTGAACAGAACTGGGCTTCTGTCAGCAAGAGGGTCAGCGCTGCCAAGCAGGTGACAAGCTGACTGGCCTGCTGCCCTCCAGCTGTGCACCCACTCTCCCATCCTGGAAAGTCAATGCCAAGAGTTGCCATGAGGTTTTGAGAGGAGCAGTAACTTGCCCAAGGTTGTGCCAGGGGACCCTGGAAGAGCAACAATTCCTCATGAAGTTATCAAAACAGGCAAATCCCATAAAGGTGACATTTCTTTCTAATAATTCTGACGTCGCTTTTAGTTTGAGTTTAGTTGCCACCTCAGGAAGGGGCGGCAACCTCTGGGAGAGATGTGTTCCTACTTACTAAGAGTAGTTAATTCTTTGTTCCCCTCCAATTGGGTGCTGGATGGTGTAGGTTCAAGTTCTCACTTCTTTGGCAATTTAACAACATAAAAGCTAGTTAAATGAGCCAAACAGGACAGTGTTTTAAAAGTCAGAGCAAGAAAGGCTCCAAAATAAAACAAATAGGCAAGAAGAGCTACTCTCTATTCAGTAGAGAATTATTCTAAGAGAAACTGGGGTAATAGGGACTGGAGATTGTGTGTGTGTGTTTGTATATGCGCATGTGCACACATCTAGGGTAGAAACTATGTATTTTTGCTCCCATGGGAATTGACTCTTGATTTTACTTGTGTATCAAATAAACATGATTAAGTCAAATTTTACTAGCCGATGTTTGGGAGGATTCTGTATTATCTTAAAGTATGAAGAAAGCACGCTATAAAGAGAAGGTAAAAAAACAAATCACCCTGGGGAAACTGAAGAGCACCGGCTTGACTGCTCTGAGGTTCGCAGGGAGCAGACATTTAGGCATCTCAGAGAAGCAGGGAACCAGTGTGATTTTCTCCTCAGGGGCTGGTATTTTACATGCATGTCAAACCTCTTCTCCACTGGGACACTGATCACATTTCTGAATGACTCCAGAAAACAGCACGGCTGGGATTCAGGTACTGCTTCAAGATGTGCCTTTCTCTTTGTCTTTGACAGCAGACGGTGTACTAAATGTCTTGATAGAGAAGGTCATATTTGGGAATATTCTTGGGATCAATAGGACTCTGGACAATAAGTTTTCCTCTCATTGCTCCGCGATAGATTACTTCAATCAAATCTATGAAGTCCTGTTTGGTTTTGAAACTTCCCACAAACTTAGTGTGATCTGGAGATCTAGACAGCATAGAAGAGAAACAACTGCTCTCAGAACTTTTAATAGTTACTTTCTGAAGACTTGCAGGATAAACAAAATGAACAGTAGTTTTCTTATTTTTCCTCTTGTCAAAGAAACTTTAGACATAAAGCCTGACATTGATTTTTCCATTGATTTTTTTCCCCCCACTTGGTATATAACTATAAAACCAGTGCTGTGGGCCACTAGCACGAAAACCTGTCATGTGAAAAGATTCTGCTTGAAAATCTGCTTTAATCACTTCTCAAGTCATTAGCAAGGAGGATGCACCGAGTGTTGGAGTGGGCATTGTTTCTTTGTTGTTGTTTTTGGCTAGTGCGAAGCCCATTTACAAGTCACGGTCTCCAAGTTCTAATCACTTATGTTTTTGAGTGGTAGGTATTAAAATATTTCAAACATCAGGTATGTTTATTATAGAAATTTTTTAGAAAAACATAAAATCACCAGTGAGGTCAGAGGTCACCTTTCGGTATATATCCTTCCAATCTTATGCATGTGTATGTATATGTATGTACACATGTATTTCTTTTTTCCTAATATTGGAAATTATATCATATAAACTGTTTAGGAATGTGCTTTTTTCCAACTAACATATATTTCTTTCAAAGCCACTAAACATGCATGTACATCACATTAAATTTCTGGAAATGTAATTACTGGGTTAAAAAGTTTAAACACTTTTAAGTGTTTGATACGTAGTGTTATAAATTGCCCTCTAAAAAGGTTGTACCAAATTAATACTTACATCAACTGTGTTCCAGGAGAACAAACAGCTTTAAAACACTTTAAAACAGGTAATATGGAACATACTTTCAAACAGATGACAAAGAAGATACGCAGATCTAGACAAGTAGACACATCGACCACAGTAAGAAATGGTAAGAATGATGGATACATTCAATAATAAAGTATTGGGACAATAACTGGATGAAGGAGAAGGCATTAAAGAAGACTTCTTGTCACTTATTCTTGACAGGCCTTACTGAAGAATGATTTCAAATTCTCAGAGTGGTAGAAGACAGGAAACTTGGCGAGAGAGAAGCGTATCCTAGTTTGCTGGAAGGAACTCTTCTTTTATTTATTTCTCTACTGAAATGCCTGTCCCCCTTCTGCACGCGTACCTCCTGCTCTCCTTTAACACACGGGCACTGCCTCTGAGGGCCTGTCCCTGGTAACTCCTGGGGCTCAAGCGATCCTCTTGCCTCAGCCTCCCGAGTAGCTGGGACTACAGGCATGCGCCACCATGCCCGGATAATTTTTTCTCTATATATTTTTAGTTGTCCAGATAATTTCTTTCTATTTTTAGTGGAGACGGGGTCTCGCTCTTGCTCAGGCTGGTCTCGAACTCCTGACCTTGAGCGATCCACCCGCCTCGGCCTCCCAGAGTGCTAGGATTACAGGCATGAGCCACTGCGCCTGGCTGGAACGTTTCTTTTATAAATGCCACCTGCCAGGCCCAGACGTTTAAGAACTACATATTTTGTTTTAAATGAAATTCCTGGGAAACTTTTAAGTTCTTTATTTAGCTAACGTAACTGTTCTATATTTTGTAGACTTAAGGATGGTTAATGCTTCACAAACTGTATGATTCCTTCATACTTAAGTTGCAAATTAAAATCTGCCAGTCATACTTGAAACACTCTTATTTTGTACCAAGGTTTGGCATAAAAAATTATAGAGTATATCAACTGAGGAAACAATACCAATATAAGACTCACGGAGCCAACATCACATGGGAATAGGTGAGATACTGTAACTGCTTAAAGGAAATGTTTAGGATTGTCATAGGTAAATCATCCTAACTTACCCATAATCCACTTTCATATGCTGCCCGTTGAAGAAGAAGACAGTAGATGGAATATAACTGATGTCAAAATACTGTGTATAAACGGGAGTTCGGTCCACATCTACCAGGTATATGGCAGCCATTTTACTTAGGTCAGAAGAGGTCTTAGAAAGCTGCAAACGACAAGAGAGACAGAGGTTACAATATGAGAGCTAGCTAATGTCTCTTCTGTGAAACTTTTCACTACAACTGAGTATTTTGTTTGAAAAAATTCCTGAGCCAAGAATCTAGGCTATTTGGGTTCCACATTAGACACAGTGTAACCTTATCATCCTGAGTCTGAATCGCTGCTGACAGGGTTATGAGAAGACTCTGGGTAAAATGGTGTGAATGCATTTCTTCCTTTAATTTTTTTCTTTGATTGTTTTCATAAAAGTAATCTATCCTCACTTAAAACAACTTAGAAATATGTAATGCAAATACTGAAACTCCCTAAAATCTCTTTCCTCCCAATCGTCACAGAAATGGTAACTATGATAATTAGTAGCAAACACTTACATGACACTTACTATGCGCTAACTGTCCTAAGCGCTTAACATTTGTTGACTCGCTTAATCCTTACAACATTCCTGTAAGGTAGGTGCTATTAGAGTCCCCATTTTATAGAGAAGGAAACTGAGGCACAGGGAGGTGAGGTAATCTGCCCCAGGTCACACAGCTACTAGGCAGTAGGGCTGGGATTTGAACTTTGACAGTGTGGCTTCAGAGTCTATACCATTGATCTCTGTGATATTTCCTCCTCACAGCTGAGGGTATAATCCTCTGGTCCTTTTTTCCCCAGGTTAACATATCACATACTCGTTTTTTTCTCCCCAAAGAATTATTTGCTTTTGACACACACTTATTTTTAACCACAGAAATGAGGATTCTTATACTCGATTTCTACAGTGGACGGCAGCAACAGAAATGGTGGGAAGAGGTCTTAGTCCCAGGTTAAGTCTTTCTCTATGATAAATACAGACAAGAATACACCTCCCCTGTCCCATACTCCTCCTTCTTACTCATCAGAGTGTGAAGATGTGCTGTGAGATCAGAAATGATCATCAGGACATAATGGAGACAACACACTGGGGAAGGGTATTGGCAGCTACAGAAAACTGCGTTCAAATCCCACCTCTGCAATTTAGTGGATCTGTGCCCATGGAAAGTTATTTGTCCTCCCTGATATTTATTTCCCCCGCTGGGAAATGGGGCCACTATTACTCCACTGTTGTGGGCATCAAAAAAGATAATGTTCACAGTTGCCTGTTAATCATGTTTCCTGCTCTTCCATTGCCTTGCTGGTGAAACTGAGCACTGACAGCTGTTAAGTTGGAAGGACATCCATGACAGAGTCAGCACAATCGCAGATCTCGGAGTTCAGGGTAGGGCAGGCACATGATCAGCCCTTAGTGGGAGTGCGCCAGTGACTGACAGCTTTCCACCCGGCCCTGCCTGCTCCGTTCCATGCACTTTGCAGATGATGAAGTGAGAATATCAAAATTTTTAATAAAACAATTTATTTTAAAAATTCACTTACAATATCATCGAGCTGCAGACAGACAGGATCTTCATCTCTCCCAAACCTGAGAACCAACACCTTCTCTGCAGTACTTTTTATCACCTGGTCTACTTCCTTTTTGTTGGTCAGCTTGGGCAACAGGAAGCTCATCTGGAAATAATCCAAATCCTGAAATAAAGTTGCAATGTTTAAAGACAATTTAGATTAAGTGCATGAGCCCTAATTTTTAAAAAATTAATTTTTAGAGTAGGTTATGTATTCACATGGTTTTAAAAGAAACAATATAGAAAGGTACTGTGTAAAGTTTCCCTCCTCGGTCCAAGTTCCCACTGCCCCATTTTCCCCTGCACACCAGGTAACAGCTTTCGTTGCTTTCTATTTATATTTCAGAGTTTTGTTATGCATTCACAGGAAATACAAATATGTGTTTCTGTATTTTCTCCCCTTTTTTACCCCAAAAGATAACTAATATATCAGTCAGTGTTCCAGGAAAAAAATCATGACACTCTCAAATTTGGTAATTTGAAGACAGTTTAATTAAGGGTAGCATAGAAAAGAACAAAGTAAAGTGCAGTACTTTGGGGCTAGTAACAGCGGGATGCTATTCTCACCCTGAGGCCTGAAGGAGCCATGGGAAGAAGCAGTTAGAAGAATCGTGTAGCAAAGAGAGGTGAGTGGAGAGGCCGCGGCACAGGCCAGCCTGCTGATACCACTCTCTCTCCCACCTCTGCTAGTGCCCCCACTGGCTGACTCCAGCTGGAACCAGCGCGCAGGGGAGCTGCGGAGGCAGGCACGCCTCCTGTCCCAGAGCAGTCTAGAGGAGGACGAAGAGTGGCTTTTAAGGGGCAAATGGCAGATGTTCAGCACACACGATTTATCCACTCTTCTGCGCTTGCATTTTTTAAAACCGAACATGTGAAAATCTTCCTATAACTCTATATAGAAAACTTCCATATTCTTTGATGTAGCAGCATACTATTTCATGCATGTACCATACTTTTTAAACAGTCCTTTACTGACAGACATTTATATTATCATGAATCTTGGCTTAAGGATTCTTAGTGCATACCTGACTAGGAACACCTCACCACATGGCAAACACATCAATTAAGAATGTGTGTAAAATCAAAATTAAATAAACAAATCGTAAAATACTGAGGTAGGAGGGGCCTAATCCAACCTCCTCATTTTATAAACTAGTTTGCTTATAGTTACACTTCTAGCTACAAAGACTAGAATACAGGCCACCAAATTTCTAGTCCAGGGTTCCTTCTACTACAATGAACTTGTATTTTCATTATTGGAAAAAATTTCATTTCTGAGAAACTCTTTGACCAAGGAGCTAGTTTTTTTTTTTTTGAGAAAGAGTCTCACTCTTTTGCCCGGGCTAGAGTGAGTGCCGTGGCGTCAGCTTAGCTCGCAGCAACCTCAAACTCCTGGGCTCAAGTGATCCTTCTGCCTCAGCCTCCCGAGTAGCTGGGACTACAGGCATGTGCCACCATGCCCGGCTAATTTTTTCTATATATTTTTAGTTGGCCGATTAATTTCTTTCTAATTTTAGTAGAGGTGGGGTCTCGCTCTTGCTCAGGCTGGTCTCAAACTCCTGAGCTCCAACAATCCACCCGCCTCGGCCTCCCAGAGTGCTAGGATTACAGGTGTGAGCCACCGCGCCCGGCCCAAGGAGCTAGTTTTTGAGGCCATCCATGAGAGACACCATTGGGATACTTGATATTTTGAATTCAGTTCCAAAGTTGGCTAATACAATGGAAAGGGAGGATTTCTTTCTTTACATTTTTTTCTCACAAGTCACATTTTAAGATATGAATTAAGAGCCAAGTGTGGTGGCTCATGTCTGTAATCTCAGTGACTTGGTAGGCTGAGGTGGGAGTATTGCTTGAAGCCAGCAGTTTGAAACCAGCCTGGGCAACATAGCAAGACCCTATATCTAAAAAAAAATACATGAATTAATAAAAATTCATATAGGAAATGAAACTGGGATGCCAGAAACAAACACAAAAAGCAACAACAAAAAAAGGAAATGAAATTGTCCCAGCAATGGGTCATACTTTAACTGGGGATGCTGATTGCCAGAAGGGACTTCATCAAACATTAGCAGAACAAATTATTAATACCAGTGAAAGGGAAAGTCAGAGAGAAAACGGATCTGTCCCGCCACTAGAATTCAAACAAACAGCAACTCGTCTACATTACTGATAAAAAGGAAGAAGTAAGGGGAGGGCAACATGTCAACAAGCAGGCCAGGGGTGGGACTGGACAAATGTTTAAAGGAGGAGAGGGAAATCGAGACCTCACCTAAGAAAATGTCCATAGCAAAGGACACCAACGGAGAGTTTCCACAAGAAAAGGTACAAATGGACAGTGAATAAATTTCAAAAGCTTTACTAGTAAGCAAAGAAAAGCAAATTAAAAGATATGTTTAAAAAATCCATTAAATTGGCAAAAATTAAACAAGATAGTAGTACATAATAATGGCAAGAGTATGACTATAGCAGCAGGTATAGCTAGCCCCTGTTGGAAAGCAGAGAGATAAAACCTCTTTGGAAAGAAAGCTGATATACTCTTTGACCAACAATTCCATTTCTGAAAATTAATTCTTGGTGAATAATTAGACAAGATTCATGAAGAGAGGATACTCATTCCATTTATAATGGTGAAAAACTGGAAACCACCTGAATGGCCATCTACGGGATTGGTGAAATAGATGCTGGTACAGTCCCCTAACGCACTATTATAGAACCACTAAAAAAAAGTGCTCTCACTTTTGCACAGACCCTAACTATAGCGCATATGTACATATTTAGATAGAAAAATAACTGGAAATAAATGTTCCAAAATATCATCAGAGGTTACCTCTGCGTGTGAGCAGATGGGTGATTTTTCTTTGCATGGGGGCGTGCGTCTCTATTTTTCCGATATATATATTTTAAAAGCTGCCTGTGGTTGCGCACACAACTGCCAGGTACGGACGATACTTACTTTGCTCGTTCAAGTCACCCTCGCCGCTTCCACGTCAGGGCTGTCGGCACCCGCGTACCCGTTCTCGGAAGAGCCAGGACGCCGGAGGTTCCCTTCTTCGGCCCCAAGCGGGGCAGCGACCCTAATCCAAAGTAACCCAGGGACTGTTGCCTAGCGACCCTCGTTGGACAATTTAGCGGGAAGGACACGGAAGAGGAAAAGGCACAAACGCAGAAAAGGAACTCCCAGCCATCCCTGCTCAACAGCCCAAGCAGCAGAACAGATTCTAGACAGCGCCCGAGCAGACCGGAAACCAAGCGTCACTTCCGCCCTCATTAAATATGGCTGATTATTTTTTCCTTCCCTCTCCCCGTCCCCGACTAGAGGCGGGGTCTCACCTCTTAGGCTAAGCGTGATTGGTCGCAAGGAGACTCGGAAGTGTCTCTGATCAAAGCCCCAGAGGAGGTCTGGAGAACCTTGTCGCGTTCTGTCCCACATTTGGATCCAGGAATCGGCGTTTTCCAGGCTGCTCTCTATGGTATTTTTGGACGGATAGAGGGGGCCGCGCAAGGTATTAAGGGACAATAATGGCCGCTTTCAAGGTGTGGATTTTAGCTCTTTGAGGCCGTCTGAGCGAGGGGTAGCAGCGCCGGTGCCCCAGAATCTGGGACAGAAGGGTCCGGAGAGTCGCGCTGGGTGAGGTGAGTGCGCCTTCTTCCTTCCTGACTGGCCCTTCGCCAATCATGGCGGCTCCAGGCCGTGGATATTGGTTCTCTGCTCAGGTCTGGGCCCCGATTTGAGAATTTCTTCTCTCGTCCCTGGCACGCACTTTGCCTTACTCACCTTAGGGACTCTGCGCCCGTCCTGCCTGACCCGGCCTTCCGCCTTGCTCTGGTCAGATCCGGCTGCCATGAGCGGCTTCGCTGAGATCCAAGGATGTTGCCCAGGGTCGCCCTGAGCCCGTCCTCAGCCCACTCCCAGGCTGTCGCTGAGCCGAGTAGGGCTTCTTGTGTCTTCCTCTGCTCTCACACAGTGCTGTCTCTACCAGGGAGTCTGGTGGGCGATCCCTTCTATTAGAGTGTCAACTCCGGGTGGGTTGGGATTTTTGTTCGTTTTGTTCTCTTTATCCTTATTGACGAGAACAGCTCATGGACGCACTCAATGAATAATTGTTGAATGAATAAATCCAGGTTCTTTCCTCACTATTTTTCTCGTACCCCTTGTGGTTTCTTTGCCATAGTTCTCCAGAATCTTGCTCTTTATCTCCTTATTATTCTCAGTAGCTAGTTAAGTCCTCCCTGTCAGATTCCTTGTCCCGTGTTTCCGGTATTTTCCCTTGCTGTCTCTAGAAATGTTTGGTTTTCTGTTCTCCTTTGATAAGTTTAAATTCATTCATTCATTAATTTATCGAACATTTATTTTGCTAGGCACTTGGCTACAGCAGTCAACAAGACATACAGGTTTCTCTCACCTGCACAGAATGACATTCTAGGGTATATTTCCTCGTTTAGACAACTGCTGAGCAGAGCCTGTGTATCTACCTTCCTGTCTGGCTTTCCTCCCTCCCGTGCGTGCAGATGTCACTGATATGCAGCTTTCCCTTTTCTGTTCTGCCTGATGACATATTCAAAATGTAACTCTTGTTTCTGTGTCTGTATTATGTGTTCAGTCTGTTTGGCACTACTCATTTATAGAGCTGTGCATTTAATTAGAGCTTGACAAAAAATTCTGGATTCTGATGGTACCTGACCCCTCAACAGTTCCTTTGCCTCACTAACTTGTTGAGGGGAATTATCCAAGCACCTAGAATAGATGCATTTTTATAAGTGGGAGATGTGTCGTGGGAGGTAAAGAGGAATTTGTTTCAAGTTGAGTGCAAAGAAGTCTCACAGTCACTTAAATACTTCTTGGTAACACGATTTCCTAACCTAGTGTTTCTCATGAATATTTTTGGTGACACGGATTGTTATTAAACTGATTTTGGCTGCTGTGAGTTAATCCTCTTCTATGAAACACAACTAATCCAAAAAAAGCCAGTAAAGTATGGAGACCATGGATGGTAGTCTTGTACTCCACCTCTGCTCTGCTGTATCTGTTATGTAAAGGGAGGGAGAAGTGGAACTCATAAAAAATTGTTGAGGGACCAATCAGTATATAGGAGCATAGAAAATAAAATATTGTAACAGTTACATTTATGTAACTCTTGTGGTTACAGAGTACATTCACATACACTTTCTTGTTTGATTCTTACAATAGCTGCACCAGTTAGACAATGTAAAAATTGTTTCCATTTTACAGATATAGAATTATGGCTAACCAAAGATTAAGTTATTTGCTTAGGATCATGTGGGTAGAAAATGTCAAGAGCCTGGTTTCTAATTGAGGTTTCTGACTCAGATTTAGTGGGGTTTCTGCTACCCACCCTGTATAGATGCCATTGTGTTCTAATAAGAGTCCCTTAGTGAAGCTTTTTCTTGGCTGGATAATAACCTCTTGGATCCTGGTGTATAGGGGAGGGTGTGTGTGTATCTGTTTTGGTGTCTGCTGGGATAAGAATAGAAGGGTCTTTTGAGATTGTCAGTGACTTGATGGAAAGGTCATGCTGAGAGGTAGCCATAGTGTTCCTGGTGTTGGGGGGTGTGGCGGGGGGAAGGCTAACCACCTGAATATACCCATAATTGCAGTTCTTCTGGGATATAGTAGAGCTGAGGCTTCTCCCCTTCTTCTCCCCTTTTATGTCCAATACTAAATGGTTTGCCTTCCTTCCACAGAAATCCCAGAGCCTGTGATGGGCGACACCAGTGAGGATGCCTCGATCCATCGATTGGAAGGCACTGATCTAGACTCCCAGGTTGGTGGTCTTATTTGCAAGACCAAAAGTGCAGCCAGTGAGCAGCATGTCTTTAAGGCTCCTGCTCCTCGTCCTTCACTGCTGGGCCTGGACTTGCTGGCTTCCCTGAAGCGGAAGGAGCGAGAGGAGAAGGACGATGGGGAGGACAAGAAGAAGTCCAGAATCTCTTCCTACAAGGACTGGGAAGAGAGCAAGGATGACCAGAGGGATGCTGAGGAGGAGGGCGGTGAACAGGCCGGCCGAAATAGCCGGAAAGACAGGTAAAGGCCTTAGGATGGGTTGTCCCAAAGTGCAGCAAACGGCGGTCAGGAAATAACATCTCATGTTTATCTATCAGTTTTTCTGTTGGACATTTAGAGCTTTATGATTTTATTATGACTCTATAATATTGATGATAGGTAGTAATTGGTATTTTCTTCAGATTTTTGGGGAAAATTCAAAGGTGACTGAAGAGTAGATGACGGAGGTTAGAAATGCCTTAGATTGTTGCCATATGTAAGCCTGCAGTACCTGGGAGATAAAGTGGAAAAGGAAAGATCATTTGTTTGGCATAGCCAAAGGTTTTGGGGCAAAGATTTTTTCCTATGGAGAGCCCTTTACCAGTTGTTCTCCCTGTTCCAGACATTATCGATCTGCTCGGGTAGAGACTCCATCCCATCCTGGTGGTGTGAGTGAAGAGTTTTGGGAACGCAGTCGCCAGAGAGAGCGGGACCGGCGGGAACATGGTGTCTATGCTTCATCCAAAGAAGAAAAGGATCGGAAGAAGGAGAAATCGCGGGATCGAGACTATGACCGCAAGCGAGACAGAGGTAAACTATCCAGCATACTTCTATTGCCTGTTAACATTTGGGTAAACATGTCAGCCCTTTTTCTGTTGCAGTAGTTTTTACCACACCTGTTAATTGGGGAGCCCTATTTGCATGATATCAGCCTGGTTGGTTTTGGCCCTGGGATTGGGAATAGCAAGTAGTTTAAGAAAAGAGCTGTTGCTTCTAACATAGCTGCTTTGCTTGAGTGTGTACTCCTTGTTTTATTATGAAAATTGGTGAAAAAGGAGATAATGGATAATATGTATAAGAAGCCAGAGTTTATAATAGCGTTGATAGAGAAAGGACAGTGCTATGGAGCAAACTAGACATACAGCCCAACACTGGCTTTGCTCAGTATTGTTTAAGTTAAATAGCTTATAGACGTATAACTATTAAAAAATATTCAGTATAGATTTGTAACTATTGTTTTTTGAATTCTTGCAGGAAAATAACTGTTACTGTGAGTTTGAAACTTTCTAGCCAGTAACTATATTTCCCCTTGAAAGAATGAGAATATGTGAGTTTCGGGAGCCCGAGGATCCCTTTAGAGCAGTGCAGGTTGCACCTGTGAGTGAGTGGGCGGCCCGTCTGTTCTCTAGGGTGAAGATGGGTGTTCCTTAGGACGGGTGGGGCACATTTTTGAGCTCTGCACGTGACTTTTCACAGATGAACGGGATGGAAGCAGGCACAGCAGCAGATCAGAGCGAGATGCAGGGTCAGAGCGTAGCAGCAGAAGAAATGAACCAGAAAGCCCACGCCATCGACCTAAAGGTAGACTTAGCCATTTCTGGTTGTGGTTTGTTAGGGTTCAAGTGCATTTAAAGGCAGAGTGAGTGATTCCCATCTGCAGTGGGGTTGCTGAGGCATTGAGTCAGAACTCCTGACTCTACCATGAACATCCTGGAATACTTGGTTCTGGGCCAGGTGAGAACAGCCCTGCACTTCTCCTTTGAGATGGACATGCTGCTTTAGGTGACACGCCGGTCTGCTGAATGGCCAGTTTTCCAAATAGCAAGAAGGGTTGTAGGGAGCTGGGGGCAGAAGGATTAATTTTTAAAAAATTATTTGTATTGAGGAGGAGTGTGTTTGCAGAGATAAATTGAATATTCCTTAAAATGTCATAAACACAGAATGAAAACTGGACCATTAAAATTCAGATATCTTTAAAAGCTATCAAAACCATCTTATCCCTTACAAATAAGCGCATGTTTTATAAATAGTAAAAGGAGTAAATTTGGGAAATTGACTTTTAGCTAATGGTTCTGGAGCCATGTCTTGGTTAAATGTTTCCTGTGGATGTGTCTTTTGTGGCCCCAGATGCAGCCACCCCTTCAAGGTCCACTTGGGAGGAAGAGGACAGTGGTTATGGCTCCTCAAGGCGCTCGCAGTGGGAATCGCCCTCCCCGACGCCGTCCTATCGGGATTCTGAGCGGAGCCATCGGCCATCCACTCGAGATCGAGACAGGTGATGTTCTGGGTGGAGCAGTTTCTCTGGGTGGGTGGTAGGGAGAGCAGGCGGCAGCGAGGGGAGCACGGCTCAGCTCAGTGCCTGTTTTGTGATGCTGGCTCTGCTGCTTCCCAGGTCTGTGAGGAGCAAGTACTCCGATGACACACCTCTGCCAACTCCCTCC